AATGAAGTGGAGATAGGCAAGCTTCCAGAAAAAGAAATCAGAATAATTATAAGGAAGATGATCCAGGACCTCGGAAAAAGAATGGAGGCAAAGATCGAGAAGATACAAGAAATGTTTACCAGAGATGAACAATACAATAACTGAAATGAAAAATAAACGAGAAGGAATCAATAGAAGAACTGAGGCAGAAGAACAGATAAGTGACCTGGAAGACAGAATGCTGGAATTCACTGCTGAACAGAATAAAGAAAAAAGAATGAAAAGAAATGAAGACAGCCTAAGGGACCTCTGGGACCACATTAAACACAACAACATTCACATTATAGAGGTCCCAGAAGGAGAAGAGACAGAGAGAAAGGACCCGAGAAAACATCTGAAGAGATTATAGTCAAAAACTTCCCTAACGTGGGAAAGGAAATAGCCACCCAAGTCCGGGAAGCACAGAGAGTCCCACACAGGATAAACCCAAGGAGAAACACGCCGAGACACATAGTAATCCAACTGGCAAAAATTAAAGACAAAGAAAAATTACTGAAAGCAGCAAAGGAAAAATGACAAATAACATACAAGGGAACTCCCATAAGGTTAACAGCTGATTTCTCAGCAGAAACTCTACAAGCCTGAAGGGAGTGGCGTGACATATTTGAAGTGATGAAAGGGAAAAAACTACAACCAAGATTACTCTATCCAGAAAGCATCTCATTCAGATTCAACGGAAAAATCAAAAGTGTTACACACAAGCAAAAGCTAAAAGAATTCAGCACCACCAAACCAGCTCTACAACAAATGCTAAAGGAATTTCTCTAAGTGGGAAACACAAGAGAAGAAAAGGACCTACAAAAACAAACCCAAAACAATTAAGAGAATGGTCATAGGAACATACATAGCAATAATTACCTTAAACGTGAATGGATTAAATGCTCCAACCAAAAGACACAGGCTCGCTGAATGGATACGAAAACAAGACCCATATATGTGCTGTCTACAAAAGACCCCCTCAGACCTAGGGACACATACAGACTGAAAGCGAGGGGATGGAAAAAGATATTCCATGCAAATGGAAATCAAAAGAAAGCTGGAGTAGCAATACTTATGACAGATAAAATAAACTTTAAAATAAAGAATGTTACAAGAGACAAGGAAGGACACTACATAATGAGCAAGGGATCAATCCAAGAAGAAGATATAACAGTTACAAATATATATGCACCAAACATAGGAGCACCTCGATACAGAAGGCAACTGCTAAGAGCTATAAAAGAGGAAATCAACAGTAACACAATAATAGTGGGGGACTTTAACACCTCACTTACACCAATGGACAGATCATCCAAACAGAAACTTAATAAGGAAACACAAGCTTTAAATGACACAAGAGACCAGATAGATTTAATTGATATTTATAGGACATTCCATCCAAAGACAGCAGATTACACTTTCTTCTCAAGTGCGTATGGAATATTCTCCAGGAAAGATCTCATCTAGGGTCACAAATCAAGCCTCAGTAAATTTAAGAAAACTGAAATCATATCAAGCATCTTTTCTGATCACAACGTTCTGAGATTAGTATCAATTACAGGGACAAAAACATAAAAAACACAAACACATGGATGCTAAACAATATGTTACTAAATAACCAGCGGATCACTGAAGAAATCAAAGAGGAAATAAAAAAATACCTAGAGACAAATGACAATGAGAACACGATGATCCAAAACCTATGGGATGCAGCAAAAGCAGTTTTAAGAGGGAAGTTTATAGCAATACAAGCCTACCTCAAAAAACAAGAAAAATCTCAAATAAACAATCTAACCTTACACCTAAAGGAACTAGAGAAAGAAGAACAAACAAAACCCAAAGTTAGCAAAAGGAAAGAAATCATAAAGATCAGATCAGAAATAAATGAAACAGAAACAAAGAAAACAATAGCAAAGATCAATAAAACTAAAAGCTGGTTCTTTGAGAAGATGAACATAATTGATAATCCATTAGCCAGACTCATCAAGAAAAAGGAGAGGACTCAAATCAATAAAATTAGAAATGAAAAAGGAGCAGTTACAACAGACACCACACAAATACAAAGCATCCTAAGAGACTACTACAAGCAACTCTATGCCAATAAAATGGACAACCTGGAAGAAAAGGACAAATTCTTAGAAAGACAAACCTTCCAAGACTAAACCAGGAAGAAATAGAAAATATGAACAGACCAATTCCATGAAATTTAAACTGTGAGTAAAAATCTTTCAACAAACAAAAGTCCAGGTCCAGATGCCTTCACAGGTGAATTCTATCACAAATTTAAAGGAGAGCTAAAAGCACCAATCCTTCTCAAACTCTTCCAAATATTTGCAGAGGAAGAAACACTCTCAAACTCATTCTACGAAGCCACCATCACCCTGATACCAAAACCAGACAAAAATACTACAAAAAAAAAATTATAGACCAATATCACTGATGAATATAGATGCAAAAATCCTCAACAAAACACTAGCAAACAGAATCCAACAACCCATTAAAAGGATCATACACCATGATCAAGTGGAATTTATCCCAGGGATGCAAGGATTCTCCAATATATGCAAATCAATCAATGTGATACACCACATTAACAAACTGAAGAAGAAAAACCATAAGATCATCTCAATAGATGCAGAAAAAGCTTTTGACAAAATTCAACACCCATTTATGATAAAAACTCTACAGAAAGTGGGCACAGAGGGAACCTACCTCAACATAACAAAGGCCATATACGACAAACCCACAGCAAACATCATTCTCAATGGTGAAAAACTGAAAGCATTTCCTCCCAGATCAGGAACAAGACAAGGATGTCCACTCTCACCACTATTATTGAACATAGTTTTGGAAGTCCTAGCCACAGCAATCAGAAAAAAAAAAGAAATAAAAGGAATCCAAATTGGAAAAGAAGTAAAGTTGTCACTGTTTGCAGATGACATGATACTATACATAGAGAATCCTAAAGATGCCACTAGAAAACTACTAGAGCTAATCAATGAATTCGGTAAAGTTGCAGGATACAAAATTAATGCACAGAAATCTCTGGCATTTCTATACACTAATGATGAAAAATCTGAAAAAGAAATTAAGGAAACACTCCCATTTACCACTGCAACAAAAAGAATAGAATACCTAGGAATAAACCTATCTAGGGAGAAAAAAGACCTGTATGCAGAAAACTACAAGACACTGATGAAAGGAATTAAAGATGATACAAACAGATGGAGAGATATACCATGTTCTTGGATTGGAAGAATCAATATTATGAAAATGACTAAATTACCCAAAGCAATCTACAGACTCAATGCAATCCCTATCAAATTACCAATGGCATTTTTTACAGAACTAGAACAAAAAAACTTCAAATTTGTATGGAGACACAAAACACCCCGAATAGCCAAAGCGTTCTCGAGGGAAAGAAACGGAGCTGGAGGAATCAGACTCCCTGACTTCAGACTATACTACAAAGATACAGTAATCAAGACAATGTGGTACTGGCACAAAAACAGAAATATAGATCAATGGAACAGGATAGAAAGCCCTAAGATAAACCCATGCACCTATGGTCAACTAATCTATGATGAGGGAGGCAAGGATATACAATGGAAAAAAGACAGTCTCTTCAATAAGTGGTGCTGGGAAAACTGGACAGCTACATGTAAAAGAATGGAATTAGAACACTCCCTAACACCATACACAAAAATAAACTCAAAATGGATTAAAGACCTAAATGTAAGGTCAGATACTATAAAATTCTTAGAGGAAAACATAGGCAGAACACTCTATGACATAAATCACTGCAAGATCCTTTTTGATCCACCTCCTAGAATAATGGAAATAATAAAAATAAACAAATGGGACCTAATGAAACTTAAAAGCTTTTGCACAGCAAAGGAAACTACAAACAAGATGAAAAGAAACCCTCAGAGTGGGAGAAAATATTTGCAAACAAAACAACTAACAATGGATTAATCTCCAAAATATACAAGCAGCTCATACAGCTCAATATCAAACAAACAACCCAAAAATGGGCAGAAGACCTAAATAGACATTTCTCCAAAGAAGACATACAGATGGCCAACAAACACATGAAAGGATGCTCAACATCACTAATCATTAGAGAAATGCAAATCCAAACTACAATGAGGTATCACCTCACACCGGTCAGAATGGCCATCATCAAAAAATCTACAAACAATAAATTCTGGAGAGGGTGTGGAGAAAAGGGAACCCTCTTGCACTACTGCTGGGAATGTGAATCGGTACAGCCACTATGGAGAACAGTATGGAGGTTCCTTAAAAAACTGAAAATAGAATTACCATATGACCCAGCAATCCCACTACTGGACATATACCCAGAGAAAACCATAATGCAAAAAGACACATGAACCCCAATGTTCATTGCAGCACTGTTTATAACAGCCAGGACATGGATGCAACCTAGATGACCATCGACAGACGAATGGATAAAGAAGATGTGCATATATACAATGGAATATTACTCAGCCATAAAAAGGAATGAAATTGGGTCATTTGTAGTGACGTGGATGGATCTAGAGACTATCATACAGAGTGAAGTAGATCAGAAAGAAAAACAAATATCGTATATTAACGCATGTATGTGGAACGTAGAAAAATGGTACAGATGAACCAGTTTGCAGGGCAGAAAGAGAGACACAGATGTAGAGAAAAAAGGTATGGACACAAAGCGGGGAAAGCGGCAGGAGGGTGGGGTCGTGGTGGGATGAATTGGGAGATTGGGATTGACGTGTATACACTAGTATGTATAAAATAGGTAACTAATAAGAACCAGCTGTATAAAGAAATAAAATTAGGAAAAAAAAGAAATCATACGTCTCTTTCCCTGACAGCCTGCCCGACATGCTCAGGGCAGAGTCTGCAGAACAGAAAGGTGTGCTGAGGTCTGATTTCATTTTCTGCCAGGACACCACGCCATTGGAAGGATGGCAACCGCTTACTTGGTGCTGGGTCTTATTCTCCATGTGCCCCAGCTTCGTGTTCATCTTATCCTGAACCGACACCAGCTCTGCTTTGATCTCCTCCACAGTTGCCTCCAACTGATTCTCCAGCTTGTTGATCAGGGGTTCACATCGACAGCCATTTATTGGGGCCTAAGAGGGAAGCCAAAAAGGAATCAATCCAAGTCGTTCGTTCCTTCTGAGAATATGTGTCTGTCAGTACACCAGGGGACCACACGTGATGGAGGAGACTCATCCCTGTGGTAACTTTGGACTGACAGGCCAAGCCTTGGCTCCGTAGACGTTAAAGAAGATTCAGAGAGTGTAACATATGGTCCCAGTCCTCAAGCTGCTTTTATCTACTATCCGGCCTCAAGATTATCTATGCAGTACCTAAGGATGGTGCAGAGAGCTTTGTAACATCCCTGTGCTCTCCAGGCCTACGTGGCAGGAGGGTACTGCACAGTTTAGGTGGAGAGGGCCAGCTGGCTTATCTTCAAAGCTCATGCCTCTGTAGTCACCACCGAAAGTGGACATTAGCCCCCAGCAACAGGGTTACACAGACACCTCGCTTACAGCCTACAGTCCTGCCCTGACAGGGCCCGGCAGGTACCTGCATCACTTTGCCGTCCTTGCCCCGGTACAGCGTGTAGAGCTGGTACGCTCTGAACTCGTGGGGGGCACCTGGGGGTGAACAGCGATGCCTGGGCCTCTTTTTAGGGTGACTGTGAGTGTGCGAGCTCTTCTGCTGTCCAGGCTGCTGGTCTGCTGGTGGGGTGGGGTCAGAAAACGCTGACGCCTGTGGGAGAGAAGGCGACAGCCACCGTGAGCGCCGTGACATCTGCGAGCCTGATGCCCAGCCGGTGGCTCCCGTCCGGCCCGCCTTGCTAGTCTCTCAGCGTTCTACGCCAGGTACGTGTCAGAAGAGTCGTACCAGCATGCTTACCTTGTGTCCACAGCCGGCCAGGGCCGAGTTCTATGCTCTGGCTGCAAACCAGCAAGCAAGGCAACTGCAGTGGCTTTTTAGCTGCTGGGCATGACGCTACCCCAGGGCCCTCCGCCAGCCCTCCTCCCAGCCCTCTTGGCAGCTCTCACGTGCCTCCTGACCTTGGGCCTTGACTTTTTCTGCCTGTTGTCCTTTGCTCTGGGCTCCGGGGAGGCAGACAGGAAATCTTCTCTGGACTCTTCTTTTCTGGGTACAGCCTGTTCACTGCTATGGGTGTCTCCTGCTGAGACACTTCCCTACAGAGGAAAAAAAGCCCAGAAACCTCTTCTACTTGATCCCCCAGCCTTTTTCAATAATGGCATAAAATTTCCCAGCCTCCATCCACTAAAGGATCCCTGGGAATCTTTTCCAATGACAAATTTCAGACATAGGAAGCACTGCTTGGTGGATTTAACTGAACACCTGTGCTTTTCCTGGTGAGTTGAATGTTTGGTTTTTCATTTATTAGGTGCCAAACTAGATATTGCCTTGGGTCTAACTCTATGTTCTGCAACTTTAGGAACGTAGTACACACAAAACACCTCAGCATTAGAGATTTTTTGGTCTTTTACGTTTCAACAAAAAGACAACGCCACTCATTCTTTGATCTTGGACCCTCACAATTCAGAGGAGAGTGAGAACCTTCTGAAATGAAAAAACAAAAAATCACATTTCTGGTCCTTGTGAGAACTTTTACAAGTTAATATGTACAATTCACACACAGGAACCAATGCGAGTTACAATGCCTTAACCCTGGAAACTGGTAAGATTTTCAAACAGAGAGAAAAACAAATAGTTGGTATAAAATTTTATGTGCCAGAAGTTGTCTCTATATCCTAGTCTTCTTCCTGGGAGAGTTGAAAGGCATGGTTCACTCCAGGGCTGCTGTGCACAGCTGTGCAAGCTGTTCACTGCACAAAGGCACCTAGCCGAGGGCACGAGTGGGGCTGAGGGAGCTGAAGTCCACCTTGGGCTCTATTCACCATACGTGCCCTGTGCTAGGCTGGTCTGCCCAGAAGGCATCTTTTGCTAATTTGCACAGAGGAGCCGTATGGGCTAGCACAGCCTCTGTTCACTCCCTAAGCGGAAGGAGAGGCAACAAGCTACGCCACTGGTCCTCCAACTGTAGTCCACATTGGAATCACCTGGAGGGCTTGTTCAAACACAGATTGCTGGGCCCCACCCCAGAGTTTCTGATCCAGTGGGTTTGGGGTGAGGCCCCCAAATTTGCATTTCTACCAAGGCTCCAGGTGACAAGCGGATCCACATTTTGAAAACCTCTGCTCTACATGATGAAGGGTGCGGTGCCAGAGAGGCTGTGCTGTCCACATGGAAGCGACAAAGCCACGGATGCACAGGGCTCGCAAATACAGCCACACAGCGTGCTGGAAAAGATGGGCGGCATGGGAGTACACGGCCTGAAATCGTGGAGAGGAGAAGACAAGAGGCCAGAAGGAAAGACGGACAAGATTTGAAGGACCCCGAGGAAAGGAGAGACAGAGGAGGGCCCGGCAGCTGCCAGATGCACCCGGAGGAGGCAGGGAGACAGTTTCCCACCCTGGAAGTGGGCGGGAGGGCTACCCCCCCACCTTGCTTTGTGCCACATCATCTCTCGGCACAGACTGAGCTCTCCTCTCTTCCTTGAGCCTCTCTCTCTTTTTCCTCAGGCTTCGCCCACGACTGAAGCGCAAGACCTGAAGGAGGCAAGAGGCATCGTTACAAACCACTGGTGTGCGGGGACCTAATGGAGCCTCCAGCCGAGCCGTGGCGGGGGGCGGGGAACCAGGCGTTCACATCAAACAAGCGCCTCTAGACCACCCACTATGCCTCCTACATCCTGTGCTGGGCGCTTAGGGTCCCAGAGACGGCAGGACATCATTCCTGACCTTGAGCTCACGGTCTAGGACAGCAACACTAACAGGCACTTAGCGATGGGCCAGGGCGTCCACGTAGGTGTGAGCAGGCCGTGCACGGCTCAGCTCCAGGGAGCATGGCTCACATAGACTAGGATGTGAACGGGGTCCCCTGGAGTGGTGCGACACAGCAGCCCTGTGCCAGGCACGGTCTATCTTGGGACACTGGACCTGATGTAGCCCATCAGATTTTCTCTTGGCCGAACTGTATCCAAGTCATATTCAAACATAACATTAATTCGAGCCTAACTGAGATGCACCTGTGAGCCATGGTACCAACCACGGGGCAGGAGTCTCTTCCCCCAAAAGAAGGCTGTGGTCTGCCCCTTCGAGGGCAGAGAGGTGGAATGGACACAGGCAAGTACACGTGGGACCCCACAGGCCCAGAGGGGCCCAGCAGCAGCTAGCTGGGGATCTTCAGGCAAGTGATTTGACCTCTCTGTGCTCTGTCTTCTCAACGTGAGAATGGGGAGCTGCCGGAATTAACCGAGACAACGTAGGTGGCCGGCGCGCCTTGGACCAGTGGTCCTTGGGGGTGTCTCCACCTGCCTGGGGGCCTTAGAGTGCTCAGCTGGAAGAGATGGTTAATCACGGAGTGCAGACCTGTGCGCTGGCGGAAACCTGCAATCCCTGGCTCAGGTCCACAGCCTTCTCCTCCAGACTCCCTAACTCCTAGTTCCAGGGTTCACCCCCCTTAAAAAACCCAAGGGGGTCCAGACGGTGAAAGCACTTTCAAGGCCACACTATCTTTCTGCAATAAAACAATATTCCACTGTCTTCTTATACAGCTAGATAAGGGCTCTCTGAAGTTCAGCCTAGTGTTTTGCATCTCAATGTCAGACTTCCTTCTTGTGTTCATTAAATTCAAGTGACACATCAGAGGACAAAAAAATCCTCCACGGGCAGTGGGTACCTCCTAAATGGAGAATTCCTGACAATACCTGCCTGCAGCTGAACCGGATTTTTAAATTATATACTCATCCCCTAAAGCCAGCAGTTCTGGAAGTGTCCAGGGACCCGAGTCCGTGAGGTTAAGATTATTTTCATAATATTACAACAACATTGGCATTTCTCATGCTCATTCTCTCATGAGTGTACTGTGGTGTTTGCCAGAAGCTACGTCAGTGACATTACAATAGACTGCAGGCAGCAATAAAAGATGTCAGAATTCTAAGACAGTAAGGACATGAGCAAACAATGTCAAACAATGCTACTCTTCTCATTTTTGTTTTGAAAAAGTTCTTTTTCACAAAATGATGCTATTTATGTTGCTACAAAATGGACTTATTTTTAAATGAATATCTTTAATATTTCTAAATTTTATTTTCAAATACGGTAATTATTGATAGATATAAACTCCCATAAACAGAGCTCTTTATGGGCCTCCGTAATATTTAAGGAAGTAAAAGGGTCCTTAGACCAAAAAGGTCTGAGAACCAACGTCCTCAGCTAAATTTTAGACTCAGTAAGAAGTCGAGTCTGATGAAGGGAAGTAAGGCCCGTTGCTCATCTGCTTTATAGACACTTAGAACAGGACACAGCTCCAGAATCAGCCTGAAATTCACTTTCCAAAGCATTTGTGAACCACATCAATCAAAAATAAGAAGTAACACTCACTTCACCCAAACACAAAATAATCAGAAAAATTCCATGCTATTAGCCAATGAAAACAACTCTGCATGGCTCACAGCCTTTCTCAGGCCATCCACCAAATGTACCATCATCAACTTTCCCACTTCACAGAAATCAGGAAATATTGATCTTAAGGCCTCGGAAAGAAGTATCCTCTTAGTACTGCTGTGAACCATCGAAATCCATGGTCAACTAGGTGCCAAGGCAAGGGGATTTCTCGTTTCAGACGAGACCATTTCTATAACCGCAGATCAACAGGACAGTATGCATGCAATTTTATGCATATTCCAAAGCTTTTTCTTTGCCACTGAAAATAAGGGTTAGTATGTACAATTATGTAAAAAAACAAAAACTTTTAAAATATCCTATTTATTTGCTATTCAATATGGGTGTGGAAAAACTAGCTTAAGTCATTTTTTTTTTAATGGAAATGCTAAAGGAGAACCACACAGGAAAATAGTCCACAAGACAGCTTTATCCCTGGGAATCGAGATTCCTGGGCTCTGGAAGATAAATGACAGGCAGGTTAAAGGCACATCAACCCTCGTGTGCCGGGGGACCCTCCATCCCACAAGACTTGATGATCCTCACGTGGCTGAGCACGGAGCTAGCTGTCCATCAAACTGCCAGGCACTGAAATGCCAGGTAACTAACGGATTCTGACACTTATATAGCACCCTGTCCTCTTTTTTTTTTTTTTTGCGGTACATGGGTCTCTCACTGTTGTGGCCTCTCCCATTACGGAGCACAGGCTCTGGACACGCAGGCTCAGCGGCCATGGCTCACGGGCCCAGCCGCTCCACGGCATGTGGCATCTTCCCAGACTGGGGCACGAACCCGTGTCCCCTGCATCGCCAGGCAGACTCTCAACCACTGCGCCACCAGGGAAGCCCCCCGACCGTGTCCCTTTTGATCTGCAAGAGACTAGCTTTTTTTTTTTTTAATCAGGATTCCCAAAGGTGATTCTGCTGAGGATTTGTTTGCAAACAGCTAGGCAGAGGTGGAGCCTTTTTCCAAAGGAGTACCCGACTCGCACCTGTCAGGAGCTCTGTGGATTTTCAGAGCCCACTGAGAAGGACCTTCTCCACAGGCAAGAGAGTGATTGATTTTGCAAGAGACAAAAATCTTAACCATTTCCAGAAACTGCTAGTTATATCAGGCATGTTTTTAAAACTTAAATGGAATCAAGGCCGTGCAGAACCCCAGGCTGGCTGGGATTGGGCCATGGTGCAGCAGGCTGGGGTCCGGACTCTCCCTCTAGCTCCCTAAGACTTTGTCTTCCTGCAGCATTAGCCAGAATAAGGTGGAAAACCAATCAGTGTTTGCTGTAAGGTAAGAGACTAGCTCTAACTGGGAAATAACCTAAATGTCTAACATTAAGGAAATGGTTTAACAAGATACTGAACAGCAACCAAAGAAAGAATATTATGCTTCCACTGTGATAAGTAACTGTAAAGACTACAGAACAGTTTCCTATTACACTTAGGATAAAGGGTGTAATACCAAAGAGTATACACATTGTGGACACAACTATATAAAAATTATGTGTCTGTGGAAGGTACTATAAACAGTTATTTCAGGGTACTAAAATTATAAATAGCTTATAAATCATCACTATTAAATTTCTTTGTGACTTAGATCGTTTCAACCTCAACTAAGATATCAGTCATCTTCTTAAATTGAATGATGGCCAATATACCATTATTTAATAAAAAATGAGAAAACTGTACGGTACTCAACTGCCTCTAGTGGACATTTACGGCTTTGTCTGCCCAGACGGATGCCTCATCCCACCTCTGTCTGGGAAATACTTCTCTTCTAACCACGTGGTCAAACGGATGCCACCATCTTCCTAAAGCACCTCTGCCCCACCTGCTCTAGGCATTTGCCCCAAGCTCGCCAATCATGATCTTCTCCTACGATGTTTTACCGTTTTTATTTATTTTTTGGCCGTGCCGCACTCCATGTGGGATCTTAGTTCCCTGACCAGGGATTGAACCCACGCCCCCTGCATTGGAAGCACTGAGTTTTAAACCACTGGACCACCAGGGAAGTCCCTCCTATGACTTTTTTTTTTTTTTTTTTTTTTTTGTGGTATGCGGGCCTCTCACTGTTGTGGCCTCTCCCGTTGCGGAGCACAGGCTCCGGACGCACAGTCCCAGCGGCCATGGCTCACGGGCCCAGCTGCTCCGCGGCACGTGGGATCTTCCCGGACCGGGGCACAAACCGGTGTCCCCTGCATCGGCAGGCGGACTCTCAACCACTGCGCCACCAGGGAAGCCGCCTCCTATGACATTTTAAACTGGAACTTTTCCCTGGCTGGGAAATTATGATTCAGGAAACTGGTTGTGACAATGATCCAGCCACAGAGAGAAAATGATGCCCATGGATGAGAACAGCCTGCTGGGCCTGAGATCTCTGGTTCCAGGTATCCTGGAGGCTCATGTGGATTCCTACACTTCCTGCTGCCTGGACAGTAAGCCCATCTGTCCCCTTCTTAAGTTGGTCTGAATTGGCTTCAGTAGATGGCAACCGGGGAATCCCAACGACCCTGCTGACCCCGCATAATCAATACAATGGAAAATGCAAAAAATCCTACCTGGGGCGCTTTAGTGAGGAGGAGAGCAACTTCCGGATTATTGTGGTAGCGGGCAGTCTCCAGTGGAGTCCGGCCTGCCTAAGGAAAGGCAAAGGGAGGACCAGTGAGTACGGAACAGCAGCCCCATGCATGCACAGCCCAGCGGGGACAGCTCTCCCAGGAACTAGCAACCCGGTCACACCAGCACCTACACATGTGCTCAGCAAAACACAACCGTGCATGTGACATGGTCCTGCTCTCGAGTCTCATCCATCCAACGGGGAGCCCAGTCACACCTGAGGACACAGGCACACGGGGTAAGTGCTGACCAGGTGAGCAGTAGGTGTTCTAAGAGACAATGGTCAGGGGCACTGCTCACCCAGGAAGGCTTCCTGGAAAAGGGATTGAGGGAGGTAAACAAAACAAAACAGATGGGGTCAAGGTGGAACATGTCACTTGAGAAAACACAAAGCATCATAAAAAACCAGCCAAGCAATACATCTTCCGGGAGTACAATGGAGAAAACACCTGGAAGGGCGGATCAGGGCCCAGCCACAGAGTCTCAGGAACTGGACTGTGAAAAACATTTAGGAAGCTATAGCCACAACAGAGACTCTAGAGAGATTAAAGCCCAGACCAGGAGTTGAAAACAGTGGGATTCAAAGGAAGGGAAAGGTGCTCATGGCATCATGGGAGAGGTACCACCAATCCAGGTACTAGAGCTGGGAGGGGGGACTACCAGCCTCGACACCCCCAACTCCCCAGACAACTGTTCCACCCCCAGTGCCCCACGAGTCTGTGCAATTTCAGGAGCACAGAGATCACAGGCCAACCTCGAGGAAGAGAGGGTGCCTGAGCTGGTGCCTGCTATAGGATGAGAGGGGGAGGGGAGGAGGGAGACACTGAGAGAGAGGGCGTGAGAGAAGGTGATTTTAGAGAGAAAGCAGTTGGAGTTTTGAGGAAGATTAGCCTGGTGGCCATTTTTCTGAGGACTACATCTGTTTAAAAGGCCTGGAACTCACTTTCGGTAACATCCACTTGCCAGTTTACTTACACACCCCTGACCCTTTTTCATGCCAGGACATGCTCGCTGAGTTGTCTGAAGATGAGCCCTCAGGATTTGTAACTCGTGGGGCTGCTGAGAGCAAGGGTCCCCTCAAGTCCACCCCCGCGGGCCCCAGGATCGTGGGGTCAGTGCCGCCGCATGGTCTTCCCGAGCGAACCTGGGTGAGGCTGTGCTCTGGAGTCCGCAGGGGGTGGGGCAGCAACAACAGGCCCTGATCCAGAAAGGGGTGGGAACACCTTTAGAAACCACTGTTGCAACTCCACTTACGTTATTGACAATGGTCCCATCTGCTCCGGCTTCCAGTAGGATTTTAACCACCTTCTTGTGATTTAGGGCAGCAGCAATATGAAGTGCTGTGTCTCCAGCCTGAAATTAATAAGAAGAAAGCCGGCTAAACCCCATCGGATCGTGGCCCACAGGCCTCTGGCGTTTTAATTCCATGGCCTGGCGGTGGCTTTTCAAACTAAAATCTGTCTTAGACTGACTGACCTTGGCTAAAGTGTTATGTGGTTCTTTTATTATTTTTAACTCAATTCATTTTTTATTTTTAAAATTTATTTTATTGAAGGATAGCTGATGTACAATGCTGTGATAATTTCTACCGTATGGCAAAGTGATTCCATTTTATAAATATATATATTCTTTCATGTTCCTTTCCATTATGGTTTATCACAGGATATTGAATATAGTTCCCTGTGCTATACAGTAGGACCTTGTTGTTTAAATGTGGTTCTTTTGAAAGAGACTCTGCAACTGAATGAACTTATGCACGAATACCACATTCCTTTCTGAGTGGAGATGCCAGAAATCACAGGACAGGATTAAATGCAGGGGGCAAAGTCATGCTGGGCCTGGGTTGCTGGGAATGGTGAGACCTGACCTGAAAGGCAGGATCACAGGCAGGTAGCCAGGAGCTCTGGACCCTGTCCCTCTGCCCAGGCAGGGGGTGGGCAGAGAACCCCTTGGTTTCTGAATTAGAATGAGCAGAAGCTTCAAAGATGGCTACTTGCACAGGCCCTGGAGTAATATCCCAGCCCTGCAGCCATCCTCAGGGATGTGAAAGGGCCACCTGGAATCATCCTGCAGGCCAGGGTGTTTTGTTTGGGTGGAGTCACTGAGAATCAGTATTCGCTTAACACCAGATGTTTTCAAACTCTAACCAAATAGCCTGTAAGTTTTCTGTTGTTGTTTTTAACAAAAAAATATTTCAATCAACTGTGAAAGAAGGCTATGTCAAATGCAGCTTGGTGGGCCAGTTCCACATGCAAACTGTTTTTAATTCCCAAACAGAATGACATAAATAAGTCAGACCAATATAGAAGTGAAATCATTCATTCGTTCCTGGCAGGTGAACAAGTAAAGCATGAAAATCCCGCCATCCCAAGGCCCTCCTTCTCTGGTAAGTAGCCGAAGAAAGCGTTCATTTCATTCCTGAGTCACCTAGTTGTGTGTTTTGAGGGAAGCCCTGGAGCAGTGGTTTCCAGTCTCGCCTGCTCATTGGAATCAGCTGGGAAGCCTTAAAAACTACTGATGCCTGGGTCCCACACAGACACTGATTTAACTGGCCTGTAGTGTGGCTTGGGTCTGATGATTTCCCAAAGCTGGCAGGTGACTGTAATATACCACCCAGGTTGAGAAGCAGCACTGGTTGGCGAGGGCTGTTTGGGGTAACCTGATGAACCTAGAGTCCATGGCGACGCTGGAGAATGACAGAATTTAGCTATTTTATTAGGTCAGTGGTTCTCAATCCTGTCTGCACACTCAGGCCAGCAGCTTTTTAAAAATACCATTGCCTGGGCTTCCCTGGTGGCGCAGTGGTTGAGTCCGCCTGCCGATGCAGGGGACACGGGTTCGTGCCCCGGTCCGGGAAGATCCCACATGCCGCGGAGCGGCTGGGCCCGTGAGCCATGGCCGCTGAGCCTGCTTGTCCGGAGCCTGTGCTCCACAACGGGAGAGGCCACAATGGTGAGAGGCCCGCATACCGCAACAAACCAACAACAACAACAAAAAAATACCATTGCCTGGACCTCACCCCAAGATGTTCTGATCATTTATATTGGGGTGGGACTCAGGAATGGTATTTTTAAATCCTGTTGATTCTAATATGCGGCCAGGGTCAGTAACCACCATTATAGGGTATTTTTAATCTGAATCACAATCTTTTTTTTTTTAATTTCAGATTTACGTACCCAAACTCAGAAAAGTCAAACAATGCATTACTTAGGTATAGGTATCAATAAATAACAAGACAACTTTTTAAAAATCCACGTAACTACAAAAATCACATTTCCACAGAACACTAATAATCACAGATTTCAAAACCCCAGTATATGGCATAGATACTGATCAGGTGCCGAACTTTACAGAAAAGAGAGACTCCCCCAGCTCACATAAAGGTGGCAGTTCAGGTAAGAGAACTCAGGAGTCATGAGACACCTAACGCCCTTCCTTATTTACTAAGCCACTCTTTCTTGTGGGTTTCCTTTTTAAAAATCACACTAAAAACAAAACCCACAGCAGGATCTCCAGAAAATGTTCACTATGCAAATGTGGTGATATGAACTGGAATGCTAAGGGCATGCTTTCTCCAGGAGGCCAGATAAACCAGGGCCACAGGAACTCCATGGGTCCTGCAAAGGCCAGCACTGGCCAAGTCCCAGGCTGGGAAAGGACACCGCCCCCCAGCAGCCTCTGCTCCCATCTGTGCCAACACACCTGCAGGTTAACCATGGGGAGGACACATGCACTGACCTGGTTCTTTTCATGGACAGAACAGAAAGCACTGAGGAGGAGCTTAATGATGGACAGGTGATTATAGCGCGCAGCAACGTGCAAACAGGTGTCGCCTGCCTGCGGACAGAAATCAAACTCTAAGCACAGTCTGAGCAGTTACAAAACAGAGAAGATAAAAAGAAAATATCCTTTAAAAGCTGGCAGGCTAGCATATATTCTTTAGAAGGTAACAGCCTGAATTGTAAGCATCTCCTTTATCACAGACGCTCACTCCACAACTCACAGCCCTTTTCTGTCCGCAGCCCTGCTTTTTCCCCACCATGCAGACTGTTTCAGGTTTCGTACACTGGATGCCTGCTCCCCATGAGACCTTCGCAAGAGCTAAGGGAGGCTCTGCTTAGCTGGCATTTACTAAGACTCAGCTGACCCCAGCCTCTCCTAAGACCCGAAGGCTCTGGAGTAACCTGATTAAGACCAACAGCACTGCTTTGGAAATGAGACTTTCCCATCACAGATCCATCATGGCTGAGAGGGCCAGGAGAGCAGGGTGAGCCGTTGGACTTTAAGAGCATGTACTCTAAAAAATTCAAGTGCATCCCATTTTAGTTGGACCCCAGTATCCCATGGGGAGCAATGTAGTCTAGGGAGCTGATGAGGAAGCAATCGTTGAGCATAAAACAGGGCATTCAGAAAAACTCGGGATCAGGACTTTCCTTAGTCCCGCTCCCAGAGAGAAAACAGAACTGGAGACAATGTGGTGACCTTCTGCAGTGCTCCCCTGGCGTTTCCAGTCAAGCTCTAGTTCTGTCTAGAGATGCTGGCCGTCAGCACAACCTTCTCCCCCCGGATTAAGAAGAAACCAAGCTCAAAGCTGAAGTTCAGAGCATTCTCAGAACCACTTTAGATGAGCCTGCCCCCAGTCAGAGGGGCCCCGGCTAAAGCCATTTTTGAGAGAAGCCTCAGATTCTCTTGTCACATGGCTGAGACACGGGCTTCATGAAGGAAATGCAGCTCTGTGGAGGGAGGAGGGATACCCACGGCACCTTGTAGGTCAGGCACCTCTAAGAACTACTGGCCCATCAGCTCGTCCCAAGGATGCCTCAGTAATGGATTTGTAGACGCCGGGCATGGAGCATCAGAAGGCCTCCCGGGTATAGCATCAACCAGTATTTGCTAAGAGTTTTCAGGAAGCCTCTGCGGGCAGAGGCTTCCTGAAAACAATTAGCTTCGTTCCTAAACTCATATGGGAGACACCTGCTGTGCGCAATAAAACAGACTGCAAGGCTGAGAGGCAAGGGAGCAAGGATGGGAGAAAAGCAGTGTTTCCGAGTGTTGAGTCCTCTTCCCATCCCCCTAAAGGACCCCTTAGGAATTAGCAAAAAATGAATACTTTCTCGGCAGCCCCCGAACCCTTTTTACTGTCTACATGTGAACTCTAGCATGCTTGCAGGGTTACTTTCCGAGGCGACATGAGACAGTGCGGGGGAGGTCGGTTTTGTCCACCCACGTTATTTTTGAGGTCGGCGCGGGAGCCGCCCAGCAGGAGGACGCGTGTGCTCTGGGCGTGGCTATTCTGGCAGGCCAGGTGCAGAGCCGTGTTCCCCGCCTGGGAGGGAAGCAGACAGAAGGAAGCACACGTTAGCAACCCCTCCTCCGCGGGCCCTTGCCGGGGCCCGAGGCTTACTCACAGAAGAGTCAAGGCTCACGTTCTCTGCTTCCCGATCGGTGGTCCCAGGGATTCAGTGGCAAGAACATTTAATTGGGAATCCAAACGGGCAGAAGAGTCACATCACTCATAGAAACCTTGGTTCCAAGATCCTGGCTCTGCCACTTAACTCGTTGCAAGCTACTGGGCAAGGCTCTTAATTGAATTCCTTACCTGTAAAATGGAGCGTGACTCCTACATGCTGAGGCTGTGAGGATTGATTCGGAGAGCCTAGGGGAGCATCTTCTTAATGGCAGAGTGCTGTGCACGTGCACGAGGTTGTTCCTCTTAGCGACAAGAGGAACACAGAGGAGAGCCGTGTTAGGGTGGCTGTTGGTTGGCTACCCTACCAACAGGGTCAGGAAGGCAAACAGGCCACATCCGACACTGCAGGCTAAAGGTTAACAGAATTTGCAAGCCTTTTTAAATCTTGGGTTTTTCTTGAAACATCAAAATTTGAACTACGGACAAGGCCTCCACCCAACAGGCCATAATACAACTGCATCTGTCACTTCCCACACAGATGGAGACCCTCTTGCTTTTGGACTCTACCTTCAAGGTCAAAATGGCAACCAAAGGTCAGAATCATGTCCACAGTAACGTTGCAGAAAGAATTTTTGACAAGAGAACTCTTTGAAACTATGGGAGTAAGGCCTGCAAGGCTGCTGCTAACCCCTAGAAAAGCAACAAGAGAAACAGGCAACGTGATTTGGTGTCTGCCTGCAAGGACTCAGGAGATTAAATACATAAGCTCAATGTTTGTTCTGCTGAGCTTAAAAGCTGCGTCAGGCCTGCAGCTGCGGGCTCAGAGCTATCAGCCTGCCTGTTTAGGGCTTTTCCCTGGCCTGCTTTACTCCTGTCTGGATCACACAGCACTGTCTGCCCATACTCAAGGATGGTTTATATTCCTTCCCTTTAAAAAGACGAACGAGTTTTTAAAAATAAAGGGAAACTGTGTGCTGCTGGGTCACTCACTCCCCTCTCACCACCTTAGCTCTAACCAGCCTGGGCAGTCTTCCTTCCTTGCTGTTACCTCCAGGAACGTGGTGAGTTCTAAGCCCGAGAGTTGCGGGAGCTCGTGCGTCAGTCATCAACCCGCGGCTGCAGTCTGGAGTCACCTGGTGGGGGGGCCTTTAAATAGACCAGTGCGCAGACGCAACTCTGATGGCCCCGCCCCAGGGGGTTGGGCCAGGCCAATTGGGTGTAGGCACTGAAAGGCCGGCATGCTGGGAAACTCCGCCCCCAACTCAGGGCAAAAAAACGGTACAGCTGGTCACCCCAGGCCTGGTCATCAGGTGGGTTTGGTTTTCTCCCCTCTCCCCGTGTTTTTAAAGTTTCCCGGGAGATTTTAAAGCGTAGCCGGGTAGAGAACCACTGCTAGCTTAGTCCTCCAAAATGAAGGGTCTGCCCGTGTTTTAAACACTCCGCTCCCTGTGGCAAGGCTCAGGGCTTAGCTTGGTATGATTCTCAGTGCACATAGAGAAGGTTGTCTCAAAGCTGCTGGTTTCGTGGGAGTCATTAAATGTGTTGAATAAATGACTGAAATAAAAGAAATCTGATGGCTGTAGAAATATACCAAAATTTACTTTGCCAATAAAAAAAATCAATTATGCTGAAAAGCATTTGGATGAAGAAAATGAAAAGACATGGGTTAGAATACAGATTATGGTACATCCATACAATGGAACGTTACTCAGCAATAAAAAGGAATGAACTAATCACACATGAAACAATATAAGACTCTCAAAACCACTGTACAAAGTGAAAGACGTCAGATGCAAAAGGCTGCAATGTCAAAACCTGAAATTAAAAACAACTGTGACCTAGGTAGATATACATAGCAGGCATTTTCCCCACCCTGAGTAATGAGTACTGATCTCCCAGACAAGGGCTGCTATACTTTGCCGAGTAAGGACCTTTCTTATACAACGGAATATTATTCAGCCTTTAAAAAAGAAAGAAATCCTGTCATTTGCAACAACATGGGTGAACCTAGGGCAATACACCAAGTGAAATAAGTTAGGGAAAGACAAATACCGTATGATTTCACGTCTACGTGGAATCTAAAAAAAAAAGATGGACTGGTAGAAACAGAGTAGAAAAGTGGCTGCCAGAAGCTGGGGTGTGGGGAAATACACAGAGGTTGGGAAAAAGGTATAAACTTTCAGCTGTAAGATGAACAAGGCCTGAGGATCTAATGCATAACGTGGTGACCACAGCTGATAACACTGTCTTCTATAATTGAAGCTTGTTAATTGGAGAACTTAAATGTTCTCACACACACACAAAAGGTAAATATGTGAGGTGATCAATGTGTTCATTAACACCTGGGAATTATCAAATCATCACGTTGTACACTTTGAATATCTTACGATTTTATTTGTCGATTATACCTCAATAAAGCTGGGGGAAAAAAAAAGAGAAGGACCTTCTAGAGGCTTCCGCAGAGGCTGTGGCTGGTGCAGAATGGAAGTCCCTCTTCTGGGACGGCACCTCACCTGTGCTTCCAACAGCCCCTGCTGCTTTATCTAGAGAGAGGACACATGGCTTCCCACACAATACTTTTGGGGCCCTGCAGGGGACAGGAGGGAGCGTGGTGGAGACCCACCAGGGCTGGTTTACAGCCCTAATTGTGTCACAAACGAATCACGTTATCTTACAAAAGACTACTAGCTCCCAGCTTAGGCCTCCCTATCCATTAACTGGAAACCACCTACTTCGAGTTGGTATAATGTTCCAGACCATGTACCACCTGGAAGAAATGGAGAGCCACCAGCGTGCCAGGCAGTGAGCCAGGCATTACTGGAGGTGTTACGATGCATGGCTTGCTGCTTTCCTCAAGCTTTCGGCCCCTGAGGGAACCATGAGAAACATCTCACCAGTCAACACAGCACAGAGCTGTGTGCAGTCCAAGAGAGCCCGCTAAAAAACCGCCCGATGGGCCTGTGGGGACTGGGCTGGAGGTCAGTGGGCAGCAAGGAACAGGGTACCCCGAGGGAGGGGGCAGCGGGAGGGGATGGTGAGCCCACACTGCTGTGCAGGAGGTACAGGCCAAGCTCTCCCAGAGAGACAACAGCAACAGAGGCCGAGGCCACTCTGGGGAGGCCCCAGGCAGATGGGCCAGTCTGCTGTGAAGCTTCTAAACTAGTCCAGGGACACACTAATAACGAGCACGGAAGGAGAGGGACGGAGGAGAGAGGGGTGACAGAGGACAACGAGAGAGGAGAGGCTGCTGTCCTTTCCTGTCCCCGCAAGACAGGGCTGGCCCCCTCAACCGCACACTCATAGACCGACGGGACAGCAGGGAAGCCGCAGCGCTCACGGGAGGCCGGGGCCCCAGGTAGGTCCTCCTCCTCCCCACGTGGACCCCGTGCATCGCTCCCACCGAGGAGCTAAAAGCTTTCAATTCCCACCAGGTTCCGCGGCCCTGAGCCCTCGCCCTGCTCAGGGAGAGGAGGCTCCCACCGGGAAGGCAGGCGGGCGTCCTCACCTGTGGCCGAGGGGATCTAGCACCTGCCGGGCCTCACCTTGTTCTTGGCAAGCACGTTGGCTCCCGCTTTAACGAGCAGCTTGGCAGACTGGCTGAAACCGTGCCAGGACGCTTCATGCAGGGCCGTGTTCCCGTCCTGGGGAGCACACACAGGAGAAAGCACATGAGCTGGGCCCGATCCGTCTCACTGCCGTCAACAGAGCACACGGTACTTCAGGGCACAAGCAGGGGCCTTTCTCCGCCGGGGCTTCTCACCTGAACCACAGAACCCAGGCAGTGATTTGAGTGGTCAGTTTCTCCACTCTTCCAGAAACGGTACCTAACAAGTACCGTTCCAGGTGCGTTCTAGATTTAGGATGTATTACAGTGGATGACTTCAGGCATTAGGGCTTGAGTCTCTCCGGGAACCCAGGGTGAGAAAGGCGCCAGGGCCCATGCACAGCTCATATGTAACAGAAAGTAGCATCAGGAGATACAATGCCCCTTTCTCCCCACATCTATGGCCCCTGAGGGCCTCCTCTGCTCTGCTCTGGCCCCAGAGAGAACCCTGCAAAGGTCAGGCAAATGAAGAGTCCAGCTTCACAAGTTCCAGGGCCCCAAGGGCAGACAGGTAGATTCCACTGCTCCTTTTTCTTCCCCCAAATCTAATCTCTCCCAGTTTAATCCAAAAGCCTCAGGGCCCCAAACAAATGAGCAGGCACTGAGAACAGTGATCTATCTGTAAATAAGGTAAACGAGTGTCCTCAACGGGTGGTTTTTCAATAGAAATCAACCCATTAAACATAGCTTGTATTTGCTTAACTTACTATTAAAAGAAGACATATTAAGTGCAATGAACTGCATGGGGTGGGACCTGGGATTAGGGGTGAGGGGACGGGGGCACAGAGAGGAGAGATGGAAACGCCCTCCTGGCTGTTCCAGGCCAGGCACAGGGCCGTCAGCTGGGGGCAGTGCAGGGACAGTGTCCAACTGCGCCCAGGCTCTGGCTTAGACATTCATTCAACACAGTAAGCCACGGGCCTGACATTGCTGACACCCACAGGGGAAGTCTAGGGTCTCGAGGGCTGTACCAAAGGCCAGGTGATGGGAATGGTGGTGGCGGATATGTGGCCCGGAAGCAGGAAGCAGAAGGAAGAGTGAAGGGGGTCCCGGGTGGGAACACTTCTGGGTGCTGGTAATGACCTCCTTCTTGAGGTGGGGGCTCACACAGATGAGCTCAGGCAGTGCAAACTCACTGAGCTGCACACGTATTAGTTGTGCACCTTTCTGTATATGTATGTTACACTGTAATAAAAGGTTGTTTAAAAAAAGTGGACAGAGGCCAGATTGCACTTAATTGCAAAGTCCTATGTTTTAAGATGGTTTGACAATTTAAAAACACTATGTCATTGGGATTTTTTAAAGACTTGATTTTGCTTATTTTCTCTTCCAGTGTAGTTTAAATAAATTAACTCACTCCGTTATCTTAAAAAAAAAAAAAAAGGAAACAGGCTGGGGCACATCCCTTCCCCCACCCAGGCCTCCAAAGGTCACTAATTCTAGACTTTTTTTCTTCACCATTTATATTTATGTGGTTGCCCACTGCTGCCACAGAACAGAGGGATGAGTTTTTTAAAAATTCAATATCAGATACTCTTTCAGAGGAACCCTGGGACGATTTCCTCATGTTAAGGCATGAGAGCTGACTCAGGAATGACAGCATCTCACGAGCTCAGCAGGTCCCAAAGAGGGTCCTCAGGCTGACCCGTCCCACTTCCCTCCTCACCTTGTCCTGTCGGTCCAGAGCACAGCCCTCCTGGATGAGCACCGCGATGACCTCGGTGTTCCCCACCACCGTGGCCCGGTGCAAGGCGGTCTGATCCCCCTGCGGGTGGTGGGGAGACAGGGACAGCAGTCAGCCCTCCCCGGCCCCTCACCACTCTCTCCCTCCCTCTACCCGACACAGGGACATCCCCATCACCGCGCGCCAGCCGGGCTTGGTGGGCTGGTTAGTAGACAGTGCATGCCTGGAGAGTCATTTTGTTCACAAACTCAGTGGTAACCCTAAGCCAACTGCAGAACAGCCCTGGGCCACAGAGCCGACCTCTGGATGAGGGCCACGCCAGGGGACGGCAGTGTGACTGTCACATCTGTGAAGACTGGGTCAGCGGGCTGGGCTGTGTGCTGTGCAATGGAACCAGCAATGCCTGGAATCTCTACTCCCTGCGGAGGCCTCCCGTTCCCCAGGGTCAGAGGACTCACTGGCCTGCTCTGTCAGCTAGTGGCACTCACGACCGGACAGCGGGTGTACGTGTTGATTGGCCCTGGCCTAGAGCAATGCAGGGGTTACGCTAGGACATCTGAGGAGGCCAGGGGCTCAGGCTGTCACTGCACGTCTCTCAGAAGCCTCTTCTGATGTTTAAGGACAGCATCCTCGCTGATTTATGCTGCATTTGACCCCCATCTCTGTGATCAGATTCCTGGGATTGCTGACCTGCTTTTTCTCTGTCAGGGCGCCAAAGGGAACTTGACTCTTCCCCTAATTGCAGTTGAGAGAAGGACTAAAATCCCCAGAAGTAAGACCGTCAAGTCTGTAGCAAGAGAGAGTTCTGAAGTCTCTGAGGGCACATCTTATCTCTGACAGGCACTCAGGATATCAAGTCCAGCCTGGGGCGCAGGCTTGAATGGGGAGATGCGTGAACGGTGTGGAAAACTCCTGGTGGGACGGAAGGGGCGCAGGGCAAGGGGGTCAGGAGATGTGCGTCACGCATAGCCTTGGGAGACACCTGTCAGCTTGCTGGACTTCAGGTTCTTCACCTGTGAAAGGAGGCAAGGTCCCTCCCTGCCCTTCTTGGGGTCTATGATGTGGTTGGCAAGAGTTTTACATAAACAGTTTTCTGGTGGAACACTGGAGGGGCAAAGGACATGCCCTGGGGCACTCCTGGTCCTTAGCTGGAGAGAGGAAAGACAATTAGAAGACAGAAAACATGGAGGATTTTTAAAGAAGGATGCACTGCTACCTATAAACTGCCTTAATCAAATGCTGATTCTACTTACATCCCTGGAACCTGTAACAAATGACAATGCACTTTAAAAGCACTTAATCCAAAAAAAAGTTCTGGGGATGGATGGTGGTGATGGTTTTGTAACAATGGGAATGTACTTAATGCCACTGAACTGTACACTTAAAAATGGTTAAGATGGTCAATTTTATGTTATGTATAGTTTATGACAGTAAAAAAGTACTTAATCCTATTTAAAAACCAAATTCACATTCTTAAAATTTTTAAAAATCTCCCTTTAAAAATCCATGAGGGGAGGGACTTCCCTAGTGGCACAGTGGTTAAGAATCCACCTGCCAATGCAGGGGACATGGGTTCGAGCCCTAGGTCCGGGAACATCCCACATGCCGCGGAGCAACTAAGCCCGTGCGCCACAACTACTGAGCCTGTGCTCTAGAGCCCGTGAGCCACAACTGCTGAGCCCACGTGCCACAACTACTGAAGCCCACGCACCTAGAGCCCGTGCTCCACAACAAGAGAAGCCACCGCGATGAGAAGCCCGCACACCGCAACTAGAGAAAGCCAGCACACAACAACAAAGACCCAACACAGCCAAAACAAAAACAAAAAAAGAAACATGAGGGGAAATGATTTTTATTTTCTTCCTTATACTTTTTAATACTTTCCAACATTTTACACATATAATTTCTAGCATCAGGAAAAACCGCTATTTATTAAAAGTCTAAACTGTACCAATATACCAGGAAAGGGACTGTCCATGTCTCAGAAGCTTTTCTCACTGTTCATTCTGCAGTGATGGATCCAGACCTCCACCCTCCCATTACCATGATTCCATCCACTGTCCACTGCATTCTGTCACCAAACCCTCCCCTTGGTATCCTAAGCTATTATTCCCATTACAAATTAGCTTTAGCCTTGGTTTTCTTCTCACCCACCTTTCCAAGACCCCTTACTCAAAGAGGACCCTTTCTGTGTGCCATGCAGTCAAAAGCAGAACATGGCCACTGGGTCAGTGTTTGCACAAGGTGTGCGAAGCCATCACACGTCGTCTTCAAACAACTTAGGAAGTGTTTCCAGATGAGGTGTACTTAGTAATCATGAAAAATTGCCCAGTCTTAACTTTTTAAAACTTCTATAAGAATCTCCAAGACTGCCTGTTTCTCTACCAGCATGGTGATGGGTTTTCCCAAAATGGACCCCAAGTGCAATTTGTTACTGACCTGATAAGAAATGTGGTGCCCTGTTCTCAGCAACAGAAGTGAGGCTGCAGCCCCTCCTTCAGGGTAAACACCGACTCAGTCAGATTTCTAGTCATTAGAGGCCTTTTACTATCCCCACAAGCTGCCGGCATTCTAACTAGCACTCCTTGGCCCAATCAGAACAACGCTTTTACGTAACCAAATGTAACCATTCTGTGCATGTTCTGCATAAAGTGTGGGCCGTGTGGGCCACTCTTGCTGCTAAGTCAAGGTGCAGTCTGACCTCAGCCTGGCTTCAAGTCAAATGCTTTTTTGTGTTTCACGGGCTGCCACTAAATCATGAGTTGAGGCAGCTCTGGAGCCAGAATGTCACCAGTATTTATTACTTGCTTTTAGCATGAATCTCCTGTACTTGCTTCCCTGGGGGTAACATTCCTTTGTGAAACTCTAGCTCCACGCAAGAAGCTAAATCTCACTTCTAGTTCAGCCCTTAAACGTCAATTTCCAGGGGGACGAGCAAAACGCGCAAGGAGACCTGACGACCTGGGTGAGGCTATGGTGGGAACGAAGGGTCCTCAGGCACCTGGCACAGGTGTCTCCTTGCGTGTCCCCTTTCCTGGCCCTGCCTGTCTCCAGGCCACAGCCTCCCCTCCATCTTCACACCCCTCAGTCACAGACCCGCTCAAAGCCAGGGTCCTTGCCTCAGGTGTCGGATATGCACGGCTGTGAAGGCCAAAGCCAGCCTTTCCCCACCCTGAGTGGTCCTTGAGCAGGACCGTTAGCTTTGCTCACACCAGGTAGGGTGGGTTTGGAGGACTGGGTGAGACACTTTCTCTAGTACATGAAAACCAGTCACCCTGAAGTTGCCAAGGTGAGCATCACAGGCTGAGAGACACGAAATACATAAGCCAAGGACCACCGCGGGCTGTCTCAGAGCTACTCCCCCCCCCAGAACACAACATAAGCAAACACCTGAGACTCTTGATTGAAACAGGGTCAATTACCTGTGAATCAACTCTTCCTCCTATAAAACTAAAACTTACCTTTGAAATATTTCCTCTTTGAAATATGACACAGAAAAGAACAAGATGTATCCTCACTACGTACTTATAACAGACCCAAGCAGCAACTTTGACATAATCTTTATTTCTACATGATCTAAATATCAACCATGAAATTCTGAAACTTTGGAGAAAAAAAAAAAAAAGCTAGGAAAAGTGTGGCCCTCTCAACAAAATTTACTCATTATTTATTCAGCAAATATTTATTAATCCTCTACTACGCTCCAAGCACCGTGGCACCTAATTCTCTCATTTTATTAATTAAAAAAAACTAAGGCCCAGTGCAGTTCAGGGGATAACCAGCTAATCTGGGGTAGCATGGTTGGGGCAGAACTCAAATTGGTAAGGCTTTTTGCGCTCACCCTGAGCTGTTCACAACCTGTGAAGTCAATTGACCTTAAGACAGGCCTTAAAAAGGATCAGGTGCTTCTGTGGGATGGGCTGCCTCTTTATGGCATCATCAAGCTAAGTGTTTATGGCATCATCAAGCTAAGTGACTGAGCCCAGTGCCTTGGCAAGTATAGGCACCTGAGAAGTATTTGTTGAATGACTGACTATAAAGAAAGAAGCAGAAGGAAAGCGCTGAAGCTGGAAACTTGAAGACCCAGCAATCTTGCAGGTTGGCACTTCGGTTTGGAACAGGCAAATCGTGTTCCAAAGGGACTGCAACTGTCTGCAAAGTGCATGAACCGCCAGCTCTCCATTTTTCTAAGACGTCAGTGCTCCTTACTTTGGGATTTCAAACGATTTGCAACCACTGAGGTCTAGAACTTTGTTCTGAAATACTTTTAGTGTTCTCTCCTACATGGCGAAAAAGAGTGAGCGCAAATGTGGGCAGATTCCAAAGCCAAGCTCATGGGAGAAACCCCAGTCATGCAAGGGTGGACCATGCCCCTCTTCAGGAGGAATCCCTCCCAGCTGCCACAGGCAGACATGTTGCAAGGAAGCTCAAGACAGGGTAGGTGCACAAAATGATTGCTGACCTCTTTTTCTCCCTCTGATCTTCCAGGGTTCTTCCTAGCCTTGCTTCTCTGGTTTTTCTCATTTTTCTCTTCCTTCATGCCTTTTACTGTGGCCACGGGGTCCTGGACTATTTCTGAGGTGGGGCCCATGTGACTGCTCATTGACCAATCAGAGATGGCCTTAGAGCTCCAATGAGAGTTGACAGGGTTGGCAGGAGGCAAGAGGGAACTTGCCCCTGGAGTTGCATATTCTAAAGAACTGGTTTCCACAGGTTCAAATTCATAATAATCCCACTCCAGGGCACTGGAGGTCATTCTTCAACTAATTCTCAGTCTTTACCATGACATAGAGCACAGTATCTGTAGAACACGAAGTTAGGAGTAAATTCTTCATAACATTAACCTTGTCTATCGCTACCCATCACCCAAGACAGGTAACTTCAGAAATGATTTTTTTCCAATACTTCATCTCCCACCAGCTTCTTTAAAGAACACTCATAAAGAGTTTTCTTCCTTGACTTCCTACATGAGTTTCAAGGCTGATCAACAAGCACAGTAAACGTATAGAAGACACACATGAACCATATTCTGGCAAATGCATTACTTCAGAACTAGTAAAGATCAATTCTACCTTCTCCATTCCCAGCTGTTTCTACACTGTTTTGTTGTTCGTTTTGTTTTGTTTTAAGCTACCTGGGAGAAGCAATGTACGCATCGTCTAGACCAAGGGAAAGATGCAAAAAAAAAAGATTTCAATAAGTGAAAGAGTTCCTCTCTGAAAGTAGAGCTGGCTTTCCTTCTGCGGCCATGTCCCCCTTTGGCTGCCTTGGCTCCTGAGTTTTTACTTCCTATCTTGCCTGATATAAACAGCAGTAGTTCTAGAAAGTCAGCATGGCTTTTGCTTCAGGAGAACACAGTGATACTCGCAGCTCAGGACCTGAGACAGGAGTCTTGGGTCAGGATGGGTTAGCATGCCTGGTACTGCAGCCTTGCCGCCGTGGCAAGCAAGGGCTTCAATTATACAGAGAAAACCAGACGCAGCCTGACATATTTGCACCAAGCACTGAATGCCCTGCGTTTCCTGTGGTCAGAATGTCTTCTCTCTCCCTGTATTTTTGCTCCTGTCATGTAAGGATAAGATATAATCAGGTATGTTATGACTGCTACAGTGCAAGGAAAGAAAAAAGTGTTGTGACCCAGGGTAGAAATCAACAGCTTAAAGCTAGATCAGCATCTTTTGAAAATAATACCCTTGATGACTCAATAGGTTCCAAACATAACCAGAAATTTATGAATGACACTGACAGCCTTATGCCCGTGTATATGACATACTTGGTTATTTCTTTGTGAATGCTGTCCTTCTCAACTGGTGTGTTTGCCAAGTTTTAGGACATTACACAGAGACTCAAAGAAACCTCGAAGCGCTATGGTAACCCACACCCTAGCCCACCTGAGTGTCTGAAATCTGATAACGTTCTGTAACCACAGAGATCACAGGTGAATCTGGGAGGGGTTTATAAATACTAACTCTCCAAGATTCTGTGTTCCTCACAAAAGTTCTTTCTCCTTTGAGTCCTACTATACAAATTAGAGTTAGAAACAGAATTGAAAGTCTCTGAAAATAGCTTCCAATCAGATTATCATTAGGATATTTTCCTAATAGCTCACTGGACGGCAATTTACATAATCTTTTCTACATCCCCTCCTTAGAGAGTTCACCCTCTTCAAAGACCCAACAGGGCCACCCTATGCACTAGGTGACCCCATGCCAGCCACTGCTGATTTACTCAGGAATGGATTCTTGACTCCAAAAGAGCCACTGGAATCTCTTTCTAGAAAATTTGACTAAAGAAACTCAGAGACTGAGTTTCAGTCATGGCAGAGCACCAGAGTGAACTCTTTCTGGAGGCCTCCTTTTTCTCAGATTCCATGAGATCAGTGTGCTGTTGTTTCTTTAAATAGGTCCTTTTTAACTGAATGTATACAGAATAAGAGAAATCAAGGCGAGAAGATAAAAAAATTAAGTTTTTAAGCTTCACCTTTTCTCCAGTTATAAGTTTGGTCAATGACACATTTCCAGCAAGCCTTGCCCATACTCGTGTGTGTGTGTGTGTGTGTGTGTGTGTGTGTGTGTGTGTGTGTGGTGTGCTCCTTCATACTGAGACAGGACACAGACAAGATGCCCTTCGAGGCTCTGCACTTGAATAATACTAGACAGGAAATACTACCACTAGATAGGAACCATGATGGAAAGACCAGCTCACACTCCCAAACTCGACCTTGCTACTGAGAACGGGGCCCACAGCAGACCTTCAAGAGGAAGTTCTTCCCACCAAGATGAAGCTACAAAGTGCTGGAGAGCATCTCCTACCGCCCCCTCCCTCCCCTCATAGCTAGTTACATGTTGTGGGATCTGAGGCAGACAAGCCCCCTTGACAACCACGCCCTGATAGAATGATGGCTTCTACTCACATCGTCCTGGACATCGAGGTCGCAGCCAGCCTTCAGCAAGATCTGGACCACAGAAAGATGGCCCTTATTGGCAGCAAGATGCAAGGGGGTCCGGCCATGCTGTCAATGCAGAGCAAACACTGATTTCAGAACAAGACGTCACGCGCTCTTCCCCTGGGGGCGGGGAGCCTAGAGCAAGGTTTGCACAGTAGCGCTCCCTGCCCCCCCCCCCCCCCCCCCCCCCCCGTTCAGTTTGGCAGGAGATTCTTATGGATTCATCCAGAATTCAAGTTTGTCTTGGTTAACCTTGGCTATTGGCACTGTGATCAAGGAACAAAATACGCTCAAAATGTGGAGACTTCCCTTAGTGCATAATTTCCACTCCCCGCTCATCCAACCAGCAAGTAGGAAAGTGAGGGCTTTCAAGTTTTCTCTTATTTCCCCACTGGTTTGATAGTCAGGGATGGTGAAGTGGCCACAGTGAATCTGATGGGGTAAGAGATGGGAGAGCAGCAAAGAGTCAAGCTAATCAGCCCCAGAGAAGTCTAGTTAGTAATTCCTCAAAACTGAAACTGATGGACAAACCGTTAGAACACATTCTCCCCTCTTTAGAAACAAATTTTTAAATTACAAAGTATTTCAGCCATTCAAAAATATGAACATTTTAAAATGTACACAGCCACCAATCACTTTAAGAAAAAATTAGAGAAACTGTAGCCATTCCTCGTGAACCCCTCCCAGATCTCATTTCCCCTCAACCCCGAGGTAACCGCTCAATTTGGGATCCGTCATTCCTGTCCCTTTTATTACACTTTACTACACGTTTGTAGCCACGCATAATAGATGAACATCGTTTTGCTTGTCTTCAAACCTTACATAAATGGTATTAAACTGTACAATGTCATTTGGCAATTTGGGGGGGGGTCCAACATTATATTTTTGAGTTTTTTAAAAATATCGTCACATCATTCACTCATTCTCCCACTGATGGGTTCCAGGTTGTTCCCAGTGGCTGTTCCCAGAACACACGTGAGTGCACGTCTCCTGTGCACCTGAGCGGGCTTCTCAGCCCTGCTGGTGAGTCAGAGATGACCGTTCCCTGCAAGCGGGCTCCTGAGCTGTGACACTGAGGGTCGCACTCAGAATAATCCTCTTCAGTGTAAATCAGTTTCCATCTAGAGAACTGACCTTGCCAAACGCCTAATTCTCCAACTCTTGAAGGAGCCATTATGTTGCCTTTGCTTTCTCCCTCAAGTTCACGGTGAAGAAACGTTCCCACCCCAGCTCCAAACAGCATTTAACCATGCACGGCCCCACCTGTGCTGAAACACTCCCAGGGGAATGAGGGTCTCACACGGCCTGAGTCCTCTCTCGCATCTTGGTAAAACTTCCCAAAGGCCTTTACTGATATTCTAGCAGGATAAACCCATTTATGATCTCGATCAAGTGCCAGTTTGCCGTGGGTAACTAGCCTTGCAGGAAAACAAGATGGCAGACAATAAAGGATCTTAACTTCAACCCGCGAAATGCAATCAAAGCATCAGAATGATTCTGGAAAGAAAGAGGTCAGAGCTCACTTTAAAATTAGAATTCTTAATTAAGAAAAAAGTTTGTCCTAAGAAAGTGGGCTATAAAAAGCCTTCATAAAAAGGCAACGTCTGAGATGAGATGAAAGCGTGACCTGCCTTGGCTGGCAACTGTGCTCAGCGCGGGCCGCTTAACCTTGACTCCTCCGACGAAATGTCCACAGCTGATGAGATGGAGCCAGAGAGCCTGGTTCCCCCCCCGCTGGGCGTGGCCCCGGGCTCCACCTGTCCTGCGTCCTCGTCCAGGTCATCGGATCAGTGACCTTCACAAGGCTTCTAGAGCATCCTGAAACAAGGGGAAGCCCACTGCATTTGTGAGGAGAAAGACGTGTGTGCTGTGAGGAGGGCTGACAGGATGGCGGGACACAAGAGCTTCTGAGCATCTGGAAAGTGCAGACCGTGCGGGCAGAAGCTGCCCCGAGAGAGGCTGGGAAGGAGGCCACAGGCCGAGGAGTAGCTGGTGCCACAGGTCAGGGGAGCCCCAGGGAACATCCCTGTCAGGAACCAGATATTACAGTGTGGAAGCTGAGGCCCAAGGAGGCGAAAGGGTCTGCCCAAGTGAACACCAAAGAATCAGAAGAAACACCGATGTGGTTCCAACCAGGCCACGTCTGGAGGGCACTTCAGAAACTACAGATTACTAACGAGGCGGCCCTGGGCTGGAGGCAGCTTCCCCCTCCAAGGTCAGCAGAGTCCCCTCTGTGGAGAAAAGAGAGGCCAGAGGCACTGGAGCCCGACAAGCCTCGTTCAAATCCCGGCTCTGACTAGTAACACCTGTGAGATTTTGTGCAGGACACTCTCCTAAGCCCCTTTCCTCATCTGTGAAACAGGAACGGTCTCCACTACTCACCCCGCAGGCTTCAAACAGGATAAGTGAGGGAAAGCCCACCATCCATCACGGGTTTCCTTCCCTCCAACTGTCCCCAGCCTCGCCCCTGAAGACACCCCAACCGCTGCCTCTCCTCCCTGACACCCCTGCACCGTTGCCTCGGAGACAAGTGAGATGTTTTCAAGGGCACAGACCTGGGAGAAGACTTGGACCTTGGGTCACCTGGATAGCCAGGTGGGCCCTTGCTGGAGGGTTTTGAAATACAAGGTCCCACGTCTCCACGTCTCTCTGGAAGGGGCTTCTTTACTGATAAAACCCTTCTCCAGTTCTGCGAGAAGAAATGTTCACGGCTGCCTTCTCCACACCCACAGCACTTCGGCTCCCCTCAGGGAACCACCAGTCCTGTTCTGAGGGCCCTTCCCACTAGGCCGTGATCTCCCCGAGTGCGGGACTACACCTCAAACCAATCCCGGCGCTCCTCAACCACAGGGCAGGCCGGGCCTCCCAGGGTCACTGGAGCAAATTCCACAGTTCCACGCTTGACCAGAGACAAGGCGGGCCCGGCGGGCTGCAGCCTCCAGGTTCGGAGACGTCTCAACCCCTCAGAGGAGGTGTAGGCATCCTGGGGGCTTCACGAGCATCTGAGCGCTGCAACAGTGACACAGGGGCTCCTCTGAGGAGGGTCAGTGTCCCCCTTGCATGTCTGGCTCCTTTTCTGGCATCTGGTAAAACTACAGCAAGTAGCAAAGGCGGTAGTAACTGGTTTCCCATTGACCCTGAAGCTGTCCACTCCTGTTCCCTGGGCTCTCCTAACACAACCACACACACACACACACACACACACACACACACACACACACCACCCACCCAGAAATGTGGTTGGTTTTCCAGAACATTCTGTAGTGAAAAGCAACAAAAGTAGAGCCATTCAGGGGAGTAGCTGCTCCCACCCAGCACACAGGGATACCCCAAGGTCATGCCTGACAAACGCAGAAGGCTGAAACCACCCTAAGTGTGAGGGGGCAAATAAAAACTGATCCTTAGAGGGGTCTTTGAATGACCTGTACTTAAGGGTACAACCGGTCTCAACCTCCACGCCCCTAGGAATGGCCAGTGGAAGACATGGGAACAGGAGAAAAGACTGTGGACCATGAATGATAAGGGGAAGAAGTTTCTGAAGCACTGGTTTGTCCTAGGCCCTGCCTAATTCAAAGACCAGTTTAACCCAACTCAACCCAGGCCCTGGTGAGCCCAGCAAGACCAATAGCAACAAGGATGAGAGCAAGGGCCAGCAGCAGCTAACATTTATGGGACGCTTACGGCATGGTAGGCACATCTTAAGAGTTTTACATGTATTAGCTCATTCAATCTTCCCAACGACCCTAGGACGTAGGCAGCATTATTAAGCCCATTTTACAGATGAGAAAACTGCAGCATAGAGAGACAGTCACTAGTTCAATGTCACGCAGCAGGTAACTCGAGTCTGGATTCACCCCTAAGCCATCTGACCCCAGCTCGCATGCTCTGGCCCACCACACTCCCTGCTAGCTGCTTCCTGTGGGAGGAGACACTCCCCTGGCAGAGGGCTCCACTCTCAGGACACTCCCGCGGCTCCCAGATGATCGCCCCTGAGGGTGCTTGCAAATTACCTGGTTTCCTCAGAATCTCCAGATGAGGAGAGAGGCTGTCCATTCTCACTGTACATCTGAATCGCCTGGGGAGGTCGGTCTGTGTGTCTGCCCACCCGTGCTGATGCCTGAGGCCTTCCTCCAGAGTTGCTGACTCAGTGCTCTGTGGGGCGCAGGCAGCAGGGGGGGGGTTATACATCCTCCCCAGGTGATTCTAATGAGTGACCTGGGCTGAGGAGGGGCCGGAATAATCCTCCCCAGAGCAGCCACAGGCCCTCAGGTGAAACCTGCCCAGTGGGGACCGTTCCAGCAGGAGTCATTCCTCTCGGTACATTCCTCATGACGCTTTCGTCCCCAGCTGTCAGTACAACACACTAAAAGACTGCATCTCCTCAACCCAGAACTTTCTGTATCGTAAGAGAGTATATAAACGATACAATGACACTACTAAAAATTCGGAAAATGAAAGCAAATCATCTGTGATTCCACCACCCCATACAAGGATTATCGTCTTTACCCCATCTCTTCCACTGCATCTTTTCTATTGGTGCTTTTGCAGTTACATTCACAGGTCACATGAAACTAGCTTGCTTGTCCATTAATAGTGGTCCTCAAACTTTATTGGGCAGCAGAGGCTTGTTAAAGACAGCTATCTGGGCCCCCTTCCAGGGCTTCTGATTTTGTAGGTCTGGGGTGGAGGCTGAGAATTTGCATTTCTAACAAGTTCCCAGGAGAAGCAGATGCTGCTAGTATAGAACCACATTTTGAGAGCCACTAACATAAACCACCGGTTTTCAATGCCGTTCCACATTAGAGTCACCTGAAAATATTTTTAAGATCTCAAATTTCAACCCCAGATTCCATCAGCCTAGGGTGGGGTCTTGGAGTGAGTGTTTTTTAAGTTCCAGGTGATTCTAACGTGCAGCCGGAGGTTACGAATCCCTCGTTGCATGCTTTAAATGTGCTGGTCCCTCCAACCTGCCCTGGGGTCAGGATGGGCCTTCTGAGAACAGCGAGGGGAGGGAGGGTGCAGGACCCTGCAGAGAGCACATTTCCCTGATCCAACCAGGGAGGGGC